CCATTGCTGATTGAGGGATTCTGCCGTAAAATATTAACATAAAAATCATCACTAACCAAGAAAAGCAGTCAAAATAGCAACAATGAAAACGTTCACTTACCTTCTTTCCTTCAAAAAACCGATTATCAGTATCACAAGAATCCTCTTCATCACCGGTTTCCACAATATGTAAACGCTCACCATCCTAAAAAAACAATTTTTTTATAATTACTATGCTTCGGAATTTTACAGAACTCTACGTCTTAAGAAATTAGCTTCTTTTGATCATAAAAGATAAATAATGTAAATAAATTTTGCAAACAGTTTTTCTATGTCACTTTTTAGCATCTTTTACTTTACTTCCTAAAGTTAAAAAAAAAAAAAAAAAACCAACATCATAATCATCTTTTTCAGTATCAAAAATATTATCAATTTTTCTGGCACCACTAGTTTGAGCTTGATTTGTATTATTGAATATCATCGACGTACCCGAATCCAAAACCTCAATTTTTGAATCGTCATGCTAAAATGAATTTATTTTAAATGAATGAACTGGATTATTTTCTAAAAGATTTCGACAATAATCTTTATAAGTTGAATGAGTGATAAAATTTTACTATATATTATATCAACAGATAATTAAAGAACTGGAACTTTTCTGATGCTTTCTTTCGTCTTATTTCAACAGTATTGCGCTATTCTCGCAATATTAATGAAATACACTCACTTCATCAGTCTCATTGCCACGATCATCGCTGTAACACAGTGAGTGTGACACATTTGTCACATGCGCTGTAGACTGTGATGCAACTGGCGCCGACTGAAATTTGGTTAAAAATACATTTCAAATTATTTTAGTATTCTCCAGATATAATCTCTGATCATAAATCTAATAACTCGTTATTTCCTAGTGTTTACATGAAGAAAGAATATCTTATGCAATAATGTTTCTATAATGAATTTCATGAGGTGGAACCCTAAACATATACCAATTTTTGAAAAAAATTTCTCCTGTAAATAATATTATTAAACTCAAAATGTGAAGATTTTTCAATAATAGTACAAATATTAGGATAATTAGTCCCATTTCTAAATTAGAAAAGATGTAAATCCTTACTTCTCTATTTGAATCCTTTAACGAGGTTTCCGAAGAGGATAAGGTCAAGGGATCATTCTTCGGTAAACTTGAGTTTGGTGTATTTTCACCAACAGCGATATGAAATGCAAAGCTAAAAAGTGAATAATTATGTAAAAACGGAAATTCACAATATTGAAAGGAATAGCTAAATTAAAGCGCAAACTGTGATGTTAGAAAACCATTTGTAAATTTCACAATGCAGTTAAAAAATTTATCCATTCCAAAAAATTTATATCAAGCGCCATTTAATTTTAACAGGACTTATTGACTTTAATGTAACACATGCTTATATCAGCTTCTTAAATCATTATCCTGCATGTGTCAACATTTTTAAAACACAAATATGAATAATCGGTTCATTTTCTATTAAATCATTGTTTATGTGCTTATTTATTCGAAATACAAGCGTGAACACTTATGTAAACAATAGCGTTTACTATTTCCAAAGTTTGACAAAAAAAAAATCAGTTACTCCACAAGAATTCCTACTTCTTACGAGGCTTGCCTCGTTTCAATTTGATCAACGCTGCTCTTTTCCGTGGCTTCCCTTTTGTTGTCTTTGAAATTGATATATTTAATGGAGTCGGCGATTCTTCCTTTACAGCATACCGTACCGGTATTGCCGCACTTGAAGTAGAACTTATTTTTCTTGCAGTAGAATTCATATTCAATCGCTTCCACCCTCGGCGGTACTTTGACTCATTGTGTGATTTTGAGGTTCCTATCTCATCTTCTTTTTGGGCAGAAATGGCAACGTGTTCAGTATTCATCGCAATGTCAAGTATTGATGAGGTTTCTTTTTTTAACTCATTTTCAACATCATTTTCAGAAGACAACTGTAAGGAATTAACATCGTCCGAATCCCTGCCATCTGAAAATTGAACTTCGTAAAGAGGATTTAAAAATCAGAAATAGACAAAAGATGCCGAAAAGCGAAAGATAACTAAAGTAAAGCTGTCATTAAAATTATTTATATTATAATAAAATACAGATATATAACTATACTGGACTTGAGCCTTTCATTTTTAATTTATAGGAATTTTTTATCCTCATAAGCTAAAGCTATTCAAAACGTAAGAAAAAAAATCTTTCCTAGGTCTAAAAATAAAACCAAACCATGTAAATTCAGAGAAACTGTCTCTGACTTCGATTCATCCGCAAACCGTTTCTTATACTTCAAGGTAAAGCCAAACGGCAGTGAAAATTCTCTAACTTTCACCTTGCACAAAATTTTCGTCAAATCCGACAAGTAAACAGTTTCGGTTATTCTTCTCGGACCGATCAATACTAAATATAAAAAAGTAACTAAGATTTCACTACAATTGAGCATATCACCATGAATTTTTAAGGTTTTATTCATGTTTTAGAATCTAACAAAGTCTAGCGAACATAACTTAAACTATTGTCAACTAAACACAATTATTACAGTCAATGAATCGTTTATCAATATTCATTTATTCCGAAAAATTATGGATGGTGCAAGACAATAAAATGAAAAATAATAATGTGCTAGATTATTCACCAAGTGATCAAACTTATCAGAAGTCTATCAAATTAGTAGAACGGAAAGCTAGTGTCAGAACTTGATTACAAATAAGATTAAAAACGAACTTTTCGCAGTTTTTCGGGCAGGTTCAGGAGAAAATTGACGTTTAGGAACAGTCAAGCGAGTTCGTGAAATCGGACTATATGAATAAACACGAGGATTTCTGCGTTTCACATCATCTGGTGGTGTAGGTTTAGTAAAAATACTGTAGCTGTCATCAATTTCAGGTGGGGGAGTTGTTAATGTCAGCGACGATTTTAAGCCCTAAAAAACTTGCAAAATAATTTAAAATCTTCCTTCTATCATAATCTTTCTTCTATTTTCCGTTTCCTTTTCAAGAAAAAGAGAAAAAAATCTTTTACCACTGAATCCTGAAATCGTGTATTATCAGATCTCTGTTTTTTATCTTTCGATACATTAGGTATACTGTCATCATTAACTGAATTAGCATGGTCCAGTTTATCATCCGTCAAAGATAACGGCGGAAATTCTGCCTTCTGTGAAGCTCGATCTTCATCATCTCTTCGCCTTCGCCGTTTTCTAATAACAAATGAAATTTATAAATTCAGACACATCAAACAAAACTATTAGTCAAGTACAATGACAAATGAGCTGTATATCAGGAATGATAAAGATGTGAACTTCATTCTTTTGAATCTCTATTTTTGTGGCCTAACTTTCACGAATGCAAAAAACGACAAATTATCTTCGTAAAAACAATAATATGAAAACTGAAACTATCCCATACTTCATTTCGTCTTGTGAGATCGATGGTTTTTTTCTTCCTGAATTTACCTCTACAGCAAACTGACTACCACATGCATCAACAGAAGAACAAGGTTTAGAGCATCCTTCCATTCGAAAATCTCGTCCCTAAAAATAAGTTTTTTAAGGCGTCTCAGCAAATATAATCTTATATATGAATATCCCATTTTTCCCTACATTATCTTGAAACACAACCTTTAATCGCTCTATTGAAAAAATGGGATAAAAAATCTGTTCACTGAGACAACAACCTTTACTTGCTCATCATATCGTACTTGTTCGCTATCAATCGCCAACATTGCCTCCAGTTCTGCCAGATCCAACGCTAAAGCACCCTCTACGTCCATCTGATCCCTGTCTTTCCTTCTACCACTATCCCCACAACCACGCTAAATCACCCAAAACACTTTTAATTTTCTGAACAAAACTTGCATTATGCTGGATTGTCACTTCATGTCTTACAATTACTTATTTTACAACATAAAGAAACGAAATAGTACTCATGAAGAAAGAAAAACAATTTCTTTCAAGCTATTCCAGCCTTGCTTCTTTCTTTTGCATGAAATATCTCATTTACAAACAATTGTGACAGGAAATATTATTGAAATGATAAGTATAGGAACGTTAGGCATTTTTCACTTACCGTAGGTTTTGCAGACATTCTTCAAAATAAGAATGATCTGAAAGAATGCCCAGAGATAATTAGTGAAGTTGAATGAAGTAAATAGGAATCAACATATCTCTTTGCGGCAAAGAATATGGATACTATCTTATGGAGGAAGGAATTACCTTACCCCACCCAAATGTTAGGTAAAGTTTTATGGGAAACAAGACTAAAACCTGCAAATACAAAATGCGCCCCGGATGAACCTTAGCAAATTCAACAACAAGCGATAGCTCGCTAAGATGCAGCCGACCGATTAGGCCATTGTGCAAAATCGACGATCTCACTGAATGCTTTCTGATATTATTTATCGCTTTGCAGCAAAGAATATGCATGCAAGAAAAAGGAAGGAGTTCGAGTATAATCGTTATCTTACCTTGCTCAATTGTTAAGTTATTAGCCTATCAATGATTTGAGAAATAAGTAATTGTCAATGTCTGATAAATGGTTTGCATGAAAATATCTTCGATAAACTGCAAATGTCATTTTGAGTTTGCAATTTATACATGTCAAAGGTATATGAAGTTGTTTGCTCATAGTTCCAATTGTTTTGTTTTTTTTTCATATTCCTATCACTTGAATGCCCTTACTCTAGCATCGAATGTCTCTCTCGGGAAGAGTATTTTCGCACTGACACTATATCAGTGAGTGATAGGCTTGGTCCTCTTTTCAGGCCGTGTGAAGAGCGATTTCGGATATTTTATCTTAAATGGTCAGAGAAATGGGCAGATGTTGTTATAGTGTTGGAGATGAATGTCTTATTTATAATTGTAAATCGATCCACAGTCCTATTCCTGTCTCATCCTTACGTTCTTTCTTTTTTAACGATATTAGTAAAGGAATCCAGAATTAATAGTAGATAAGAGATTTACGAATAGATTATTGGTAACATCAATTTCAGATGAGAAATGGCATCTTCGGGAGTAGCAATAAAGCTTGGACAAGGAGCACTGCGTGAATTGCGTATCCATCTGTGTCCTACCTCATCAGCTAGTGCTGGTGTGAGAAGTTTCATCGAGAATGATTATGTACCTTTAAAGAAGGCCAATCGACAGTTCCCGATATTGATCCGAGAATGCAGTGGAGTACAACCTAAAGTTTATGCCAGGTTTGTATTTCTTCCTTATTACGTAGTCAATAACTGCTGTGCACTGGTCAAGAGGAGCTGACCGATTCAAGGTCAGTCACTAATAGATTCCTTGTCTCTCTACTATAATATAAGCTACTTATCTTTAATTTATGACTCATTGGTTTACTTTTTGGATTGTTCTGGTGCATACTTGTTATACAGTTTGCTTTGTTTTACTACTACCCGCTAGTTGTCCCGACTGTAATTCATAAAAAATTATTTCGTAGCACTCTTGATTTTCTATCATGGCATATAGTTTAGGTACAATTGCGGTATTGAAAAAAGTATCCCGCTGGATAATATCTCACGATACAAAGTGCTGGACATTATCAAGGATTTAGTTACTGGCAAAGTTTCGTGAAACTTATGATTGCATAGTTTTTGTTACTGCTTTGCTTATTTATTAGGATTCAGAAAAATTATCACTTCTGGAAAATATGGTAGTTTAGTAGTTTAACGCGAAGAAATATAATAATTTGAAGTAGCTACTGGATTATATCTCACATTTTAATGCATGTAAATTTTTGTGAACTCTTCATAGTCTGTAAAAATGCGATTAATGAGGAATTAAATATGAAGGACATAGATGCTTATAGAAGTACATCTTAACTTTTCAAATGAAATTTAGGTCAGAAATTCATAAGTACAGTTTTATAGAATTGAAAAAGTGATGACTTATATAGTTTTTACTCGATGTAATTGATTGCGTATATGGTAGATGTTTAATAAATATTTATATACTTTTTTGGTGATTTCAACATAAAGACACTGTGTTTAATAAAAATATGATATGAAGAATTACTTCTCAAGTGAAGGCTTTTCAAGCATTTAAATTTTGTGAATTCCTCACAGTAACGAAAGTATGACTGATCGGAAAGTAAGTAATGTTTCATGAATTACGAAAAGTATCCCATTCTCAATTATTGTTCCTTGTCACAGTTGTCTTACAATCTATATAACCCAGGAAATTTTAAATTGTTGGCTCATTTCAACAGCAAGTGTCATTTCAAATGTTGACATCACCTTATCTAAAAAACACTAATATTTTGATGGATTCTATGCTATCTTGTATTGGATTCTTCGCGCTGTTTTAAGTTGTACTATGGATGAGGAATCATCGCAAAGTTCCGGAATTTCGGAAATGCATCGACAATTGAGAATATCTATGTTGAAAAAATAATAACTTTAGGAGATTTGAATTGATGTACATGCCGAAAATTCATGATAAATAAATCGCTATCAAAAACTGAGGGCGATTTTGCCGTTGATACAGTCTTGATATTGTTCTAAATGCGAGAGATTGCCATTAAGTCAGAACAACTTTAGCTCTTGATCTAATGGCCTACATTTTCAACTGTTTTTAGGTGATGGAATTGAAAAAAAATGGAGGAAGACACATAATGTTAAGATTAGTCGTTAGTCTTGTTTCTTCTTATCGTTAAAAAAATCGCATCAATTCTATGCAAAACCGAATCGGGTCTCTTCTTTTACCATTTACTCTGTCCTAATTTCGCAGTTTTGAAAATAAATTCACTGAAGGAAGTTGGATGACCTAATGCACAGAAAATGTGTAAAAAAATTGGAAATTAGTCAGTGTATTTTCTTCAGTTTATTCAAAAATGTGGCCTAAATTTATTCCAAAAGTCCAATCCCTCTCAAAACAAAAAAAAAAAAAAAGAGATCTTCCTTGTGAAATGGATGTGTTTTTCTTCATTTATTTGTTTTTGAAATTGCTTTGAAAGGTGGCAGAGTCTTTCCATCAACAATTCTGATGATCATTCTCCAATTGGGACGTTTTTGAAAAAAGGGATAAGAAAATTATTCATTTCAGATGAATTGTAATTTTCAGTTTTGTTGTTACTAGAAAAGTTATCCTCAGCAACTTAATGTTTTCGGAAATGATTTCCAGTTCCGAATGCATTGTGAAAATGTAGGAGATAACATTGATTTAAATGCTAATATTATTATTATTCCATGTTGATAAGGATGAAAGTGCATCAGGTGACACTGATAGCATCAACAATAAGTGGTGTGTCATTAGTAGCATGCTTATTTGCTATCCTAATGATTTACAGCGATGTACAAAAGACCTGGAATCAACTGGATTCAGAAATTAGTACATTCAGGGTATAATTAATTTATATTCAAATATTTCAAGATAACATTTATCAGATTATAACAACAATCATTTATTACAATTATTAGATTGGGCTCATTCCTCTATGATAACATATTTTAAATGAAACTTTCCATAAAATTAGCATAAAGAGAATAATAATGAACAGAAAATGATTATAAAGAAAGATAAATATAGTTGTAATCCTTTTTTTTTTTCTTTTTTTTTTTTCTGTCTCAAACTAATCACTTCAATGAAATTTAGGCAACAACAGATGATTTATGGAAAGATATGATACAGCTTGCTCGAAAAAAGCGATTTCGACGACAATATGATGATAAGAGTGAAGGTGATGACAGTACTAGAAATGGTTCAGCCACAGTGTCATATCAGTTTGAGACAACAACAAATGGAAATGATGGTAGTATACGCTCTCATCAACATGAAAGTTTGAAAACCGAAGCTGCCAGTGCTACAAGTCCAACAACACCTACACCTTCTGGATCAGGGGACAGTGACGCTACATGTGGCATGTTTTGCAATTTTGAAATGTCTTTTGATTACTGTTACTTAATGAAATGCTTTTAATTCGTCTATTTGCAGGATGCCGTATTGATAATAAATGTCCACCAGGTCCGCCGGGTCCCAAAGGACCACCTGGCCATAAAGGTATTAACAAAAAACCGCTATACTTTTAAGTGAAAAAATTGCTCAAGAAATGTAACTTGATTTGATTTTGCAGGAGAGGATGGAATGCCAGGTATGGATGGTAAACCAGGTGCTGATGGGATGAATATTAAACTAAGCAAAACTACTGTAGGTTGCTTCAGATGTCCAGCTGGTCCTCAAGGTGCACCAGGAGCTTTGGGACGTCCCGGACCACGTGGACTAAGCGGAAGCAAAGGACGAGCTGGCTTGCCAGGACGAAATGGGAACCCTGGTCCACCTGGTGAGCCTGGACCACCAGGACCACGTGGTAATTCATTTATTTATCAAAATATTGAGGAATTTAATAAAATAATTGATTTTTGAAGCTTTTAAAGAACTCGAAAGTAAAAAATCATGTTTTTTGTTCATATTAAAGTTATGAAAATTTTGGCATGGATGAGAGTCTAAATGAAATCGAAGATGAAACTGCAACTAATTTAGGTGCTGACGGACCAGCAGGACTGCCTGGTAAAAAAGGTGAAAATGCAGAGCATCCAGTAGGTCATCCCGGCTTGAAAGGTGAACCGGGACCAGTAGGACCAAGAGGACCACCTGGGATTGCTGGTCGTAATGCTCCATTCGGTATCACTGGTCCTCCGGGAAAACCTGGTTAGTGTGTATGAAAAATTTATCATAGAATTATTAATTAATGGATTTTAAGTATTACACAAAAAAATTATAGCAGTTTAACAGTTAACGGTCATTTTCAGCATCTACAAAATTTCAGGAAATCCTGGACCTCAAGGACCACAGGGAGCTGCTGGTCCAACTGGGAAAGTTGGACCTCCAGGACTACCAGGAAAAGACGCTGAAGTGAGTATTTCAATATTTTTTTTTTGACCAGAACTATGTTCCAAATCAGTGTATACCTGACACAACTGTAAATTGCAAACATTTATTTTAGAATGAAATTACTTCAATTTACAACTTCAATAATATCCAAAATTCAATTGAAAATTTCAGTACTGTCCGTGTCCGAAACGTGAAGAAAGTGCAAATGGCTACGCAAGGCAGAAATGAAGAAAAAATGATATTTTTCGATTTTTTAAAATGTTTTGTTGAGTCAAATTCAAATTTAGAGAAATAAGTATAGTTGTGATAGCTAAAGAAAGGATTAAGTGATATTTTTAAGCTATAAATGATCACTATGAAATATTCTTTATGTTAAATTATGTGGAAAGTCATAATTTGCATAATAAATCTGATAATCTGCATAAGTGATAATGATCTTTTCATCACAAAAGATTAATGATGAATCATTCTGGAATTAGCAGGCATTTGCATAAATGATGACACATCATTTAAGAAGTCATTTCAAAAGTTACTTGTCATATTTCAAAGTAAAACAATCAAGAGGAGGCAGCTTACGGCTTTAATTTAGCCATAAAGTCTTGAAACAATAAACAAAGAGATTAGTCATCGAAATTACTGACAAATGTTTGAAGGTATTGATGAAACACCGAGCAATGTTTGCGGTGTCATTGGAAATCGCTATGTGATTATGGGACATGTTGATGAACCAGTAGAGAAGGCATTTATGTATTTTCACATACATGACGATTATCCAAAGGGAGAAAAAGAAAAGGTTTTAGTAGCTAATAGTTGTGATAAGAAGTTTGAAGAGACAAATTCAAAAAAATTCTTATCAGTAGCAGTAATGATAAGCATTCTATATCGTATAATAACTTTACTAAATGAAAACTGTTCGACTTTAGATGGTAATAGAACTATGGCCTTTTTCGATTTGTAGTTGAATCAATTGACAGGTATAAAATTTGAATTTATATTGTTTATGGATCTGTTAGATCCGGAATGCATTGAGAGAAAAATATAAGAAAAATTTACAAGCTTATTTAATATTTGAAGAACAAATATATATATTTAGCCATTGTATGCGATGATTGGACGGCATGCCGAATCGTACGGACCAATCCATATGACCATCAAAGTTTTAGAAACAGTTAAGGATAGAAGTGCACACTTTCCAGAAATTGTTCAACGTGGAAAAATTGAAAAAGTTCAGTACTGATATCAATTCCAGTAAATATGACTAGTTATAGACATTCTTGCTATGTTTGAATTCTAAGACTATTCATTTACTCATTTAAATAATTTATAAAATGAAGCTGTACATCCTCTGATCTTCATTTTCATTTACATATGAGAATAAATTAGATTAAATTGAAAATACTAGATAAATAAAAGTTCATTTTAAGACTATTTGCAACCTCAAAACATCCTAGTTTTAAATATTTACTGAAAAAAATTCCAAATAGTTATAGTATATATTTTTCCTAAAAGTATTATTCAACTGTCATATACCTGATAAGAAATTTAAACTAGAATTTACGACATAATTACAGCTTTATTTCGGAAGCGAAGGTGAACAAGAAGAAGAACACGACCCGGAACTTGGTGGTCGACCATTTGTGATCATCAAATATGATGCTACACCTGTGTCGGTGCTTTCTTTTTTATCACCGCAGAGGTTAATCACTTTCAACGTACATAAAATGAAGTTATAAGTTAGCAAAATTAGCTTTTTGATTTTGAAATAATGTAACTAATGACTTTATCTATCATCTCATAGTGATTTAAAGTTAACGAATTCATATTATTATATTGGGAAATGAAATCTTTGATTATACTTTGCTTTATTCGGTATTTTCCTGATCCATCACCTGTAAAATTTTATCATTTACTTAATTACTTAAAAAGCAAACTTCGAGAATTTAACTTAAATGTCACTTTTACTGCAGTTTTTTAAAAAATAGTTCAATTTTAAATATTATTTTAGTAATTTGCTCTGTAATCATACTTAATTTCTTTAATTACAAAAATTTCTTCCAAAATATGGCAATCTTAAAATTTAAAAAATTTCACATTTGGGATTTTTAAAAGCTTTTTGCAACATATATCGTGAATATGTATTGTTAATTAATTATAACTGATTATAATTGAGTAAGCAAAAAAAAAAAATTATCCCAGAAATTAAAGAAATTAATAGATAAACTTAATTTAAAAGTCTAAAAGTTAATGAAAAGAAGCAAAAAATTTCATGAAAAGAGTGAAAATAAAAGTAAATTAAAAGAGAAAGAATCATTTTTAATAAAATTTATAATTGTATTTGAAAAAATATTTCATACATATTCATTACGCACAGAAGACATTTGATCTTTCTATCTAAAATTTAAAAAAAAAAAAAAGAAAAAAAAAGTTAATTTATTCTATTTATCATATATTCAGGTAATGGTTAGTACAATAAAGCAAGAATTTTGAAAAAAATATTTCATTTGTATTTAGTTAAAAATTTTGCTTACTTATTTTAATGCTTTATCCTTTCTGAATATTTTGAAGGAGATAAGGAATGGCAAAAATATTTTGAACAAAATTGACTAAAATTCTTTTAGGACAGTACCAACTATATTGGCTTTAATGATCGGTCTTGGTTGTGTTCGTGCATTAGCATCACTGAATCGTGCCGGTTTTGTACACCGTTTTGTAACGCCGTTTAATTTTGCAATTACAAATCCATTAACAAAGAAAAATATATTGGAGAAGATGATTATCACAGATTTCAGTGCTGTTTTACCTTGGCCATGCAAGTATGTGCTACTCTGAATCAGTTACTGATAGATTGATAAGTGATAAGATGGTCTGTGAAGTATAAAAACAAAACGTCAAATGTATCATTATAACTTGAAATCTAATAAGCCAGTCTTTTTTCTTTTTTCTTTTTTTTTTTTTTTTTTTGTGGAAAGTTTTTTCAATTTTAGGCCACGCATATTTGTACCATTTATTGGATCCTACCGGTACAGCTCTGTAAGAGCACATTGGGGACGTGAACAAGGCCCTTCGGATGATATTATATCAGTAATTTATATGATTGCTGAAATGTTACATGGAAAGTATGTTTTCTCAGTAATCTTGTTAGCATCAGTGAACCAATAAAATTAGCAAAAGACAAAGAGGACTAGTATTGTAATGAGACTCGTATCATACCAATGGAGATTAGGATAATAGCATTTTATAGGGAGTTCGAAAAATGTTCGGGTAATTTTGTGTCATTTTAAGTTTCCAGAAATTACAATTGCTCTTTACAGTAATAACTTATTGCATGTTATTTATTTTAGCAAATTAAAAGTTTCTAATTTGTAATGGTTTCATTGAAATTTCAGATTACCATGGCGATCACTAAATGATGATGAGGATCGAATTTGCTATATTAAAACATATTTTTACAAAACAAACGCTTTTAAAAAGTTGCCACGACAATTAAGACAAATTTATCGGTTCGTCCTTCAAAATGATGCTATTTGAAAATTAACACCTTGCAAGACATAGGGTCGAATTTCGTAGACCTAAGAGAAATATGACTAATCCAAAAGGATAATAAAAAATGAGTTTTCTTATGATGATAGATTAGATTCCAAAAGTTTTCGAATGAGCATTTTTTTTTTTTTTTTTTCAACTCTTAAATTTGAATATTTGCAGAGAAATGCTTTCAAAGACAGGTTCAGCGCCTGTTGACTTTAAATCTGTCATCGAACAATTCAAAAAAGCAATTGATAGCAGAGATCACAATAATAAGTTTCAAATACCAGAATGGCTTCTCTGCAATGAAAGTAATACTCATTGAAGACTATGACTTACTGTTGTATAATGAAATGAAGGTCATTCTACTCCTGATTTTTATAAAAAACTTGACAATTACCTGGTTACTACTTAAATTAATGACATGATATATACGAGAATTTCTGGCTAAAAAAAAAAAAAAAAAAAATCAATTGAAAAAGGAAATTCCAAAAATCCGTGTAGAATATTCAAACTACAGGAATTTTTCTCTGAACATAAAAGAATAAAAGGTTATCACTAAAATTAAATTGATGCAATAGTGATTCAAAAAAGACCTTTTTTTTGGATTTTCTAATTTGAAGGAAAAATGCAAAAAAAAAATGCACCATAGAAGAATTCTCCCAAGTTGCAACGACTGATTGTTGAAATTGCACCATTTCTTGTGCTCATGATTACATTCAAAATTGAGCTTTAGTCAACCTTTTAAAAAAAAGTCATAGCATGACTGAATAAAATTAAAATTTTAATTAAGAATACAATAACTTCAGATAGATTTGAATACTAAAAATAGGGTTAACATTTCGAAATAATTATTGGACTGTGTGTCTCATAATGGATAACATATCACTGATATCTAATTTGAAATTGTTGTATTCATACATTTAAGATAAAAACCTCAACAAAAATATTACAATGATCACATAAAGTTATGCAAAAATTCTTGAATGAATCGGAGTGTTAGTAACAACAAATCAAAGTCATCGATTCGAATTTTTAAAAATTTGAAATGTCTGTTTAAAAAATTTTTATAGCAATATTTATCTATAGAAATTCTAAAGTTGCAGTTTACTTAAAAACTAATATTATCTGACTAAGATGTGTCTTTCGCTGCTCATGAAAATGTGACATATCAATAGCTTTCGCTTCAACAAAACTGAATTATTTTCACATAGAAATAACGGCTGAATCATTCATACAAAATAGTTTTAACATTACCCTGATTCAAAAACACTTCATGAACTAAAGTTTTTGGACGATTATTTTGAAAACACAACAACACCGATTGTGAAATATTACTGTTGCATTTTAAAGCATATGCTAAGGCAAAAAAGTGATGTCACATTCCACTATTTTTTTACAAAAGTAGATTTTAAACGAAAAATTTTTTAAAACTATGAAAAATACATTAAAAAGGATTTAAGAAACATATAAACATCCTCGATTCAAATACTTCTTTGATAAAGCATTATTATTTGATTAAAACACTTACCTAGAGAATAAATACTAAGTGGGTCGTTGTAGCAAGAGTATAATTATAATTATGAACAATAAAAACCGGCAAATTATTAATAAATAATGCTTATTTTCAAATTCAAACTTTCTAAACCTTAAATAAATCTGCTTTGTTTGCTCAAAGTAAATTGAATAACTTTTGCAGCTTTTTTCTCGTAGAGTAAAATTAGTCATAAAATTCAAATCAACTCAAAGTGCTGTTGAGCAATGCAATGTTGTTCAATTATTTGTTAATTTATCTCGTTAGTAATAAGTACTTCGCCGAGATCAGTTACTGTTTTTTTCTTCCGCGAGGTAGCAAAAAAAGAAAAAATAATAGTTTTAATAATATGAAACTCCACAAAGGAGTGGGAAAAAATAAAAAATATCTGAAATTCTCCAAAAAGTACTTCAGTTCTCTTTCAAAATAGAAAAGATGATATTTGCTACCTCCAAGACAGATGAAAGGAAGACTTAGAACAGTGATTTTTTATAAGTAACTTTCAACTGATATGCGAAAGAAAGAGGGTGGTAACAAGATTAAAAAAAGATTCACCGCATCAAAAATACATTTCACGCAAAACAATGATAAATTGAAAACATAATTTGGCAAGAACATTTAGAGATCGATCACTGATATTCAAAATATCAATTTAGCAAAAGATTAGAACAAAAATTCGGATGGATTTACTTATAAAAATTCGCAATCGTTCATCTGGTTGAAAGATTTCCGCTACTCTGTTGTAGATCGAAATCTAACTATCTACTGTTTTCCAGAAGCTATCGAATCAATCCAAATTTTTGAGCGTATGTATCAATTTTGTGAATTATAGGTGTAGAACCACCGGGTGGAAAGAATTCAACTTCCCAGATTAAATCTAACCTACGCATCGACTGGCCAGCACTTCTTGTTCGCAATGTACCTTCTTTTCGCCGTGCTGGATCCTTACTTGCACGAGCATCCTGGAAAAAATTGCCTGATGCATTCGAAATTTACACTTGAAACACCAATTCTATTTGAGAAATCTGATACACTCATACAAAAAGGCTGAATAAGGCAGAAAGAAAGTAACAAAATGCGAACTGCATTTGATTTGGTTAAGCAAAAATTTTCTAATAAAAAACAAGAAAGAATAAATCTAACAGTTCAATAAAGGAAATATTGACCAAAATGAAATCATTCCTGTAACTTTGATCAAAACCAATTCAAATGATTAGTGAAAATGAGAGAGAACGTATAAAAAAGTAGATATATCGGTTAAACTTCAAGATAAAATAAGCTTTCCAATGTGAAAGATAAATAAAAATATCTAAAACTTTGAAAAAAACTGACAAGTGCCTCTTCCGGAGTCCAACCAATTAGTTCTACAAGAAATTTATGTGAAACGAAACACGTTAAGCACTCATAACTTTCGTCACTCAGCGCCACAGTTAGTGCCCATAATCCATCATTGTTTATATGTAATGGCTCTAACGGCTTTGTTTCCATTAAAGCCTGGAAAGAGAAGAAAGTATCAATGGAGCACATACAGTTAACGCTAAAAAAAAAAAAAAAAAAGATATTTGTACAATTCGTCATGACTTTAGAAAATTTTTTCAACTTAAACAAATTCATTTAATCTATTTATTGGTTGAAGTCAAGCAATTCAAAATATTTTAGGTTCATAATAATTTATGAGCATTCAAAATGTGTGGCATGAAATTTGGAACAATCTCTACTACTATTGTGCAATCCGAATCAGACACCATAATCAAACAGTCAGACAAACCTAAATGCTGTGCACTAAGCTCTTTATCATTCATTTTGATCATGCACTAAAAATGATGAAGTTGGGACAAATTTATGGATAATCAATTTGCTTACAGCCAATATTTTACGCCTCGGTCCAACAGCATATCGCATGGACCGTAATGCTGCCGCAATTGATTCAACTCCAAGTCTTTTATAAGCAGCAATAATTGGATTATTAGCTGATTTAGGTGTCGCAGTTAGATTAGTTTTTCTCGGATTATCTGCAAAAGCGATATTAGTCTTGACGTATGAGCAGTTCAAAACATCTAAATCAGAAAAAAAATAAGTCTTCCAAATCACTAGACAAAGCAGTAAGTGCGTGTCTAAGTAAAATACATATCTTCGGATGTACACACGATAATAAAAAAAAAATTAAAATTACTCAGAGATACAAAAATTTAGTCTCTCTTTTCAAACACCAAAACCATCAGATCATTAATCCACAAAAAATTTTTAAGCAACAGGAGAATACCTTCTTTATTCAGTTCCTGTTTTATGGTTGTCGGCGTTTCGAGCAAGATAATATCAGCGTCATCTTCAGCTAATTCTCTGTAAAACTCACGAATGGAAAAAACAAACTTATTTGACAAGAAATATGAGATCCCGAGAATAGCAGTCTATTTTTATAAGAGCAAGATAATATGAGGAAGATCGAGTAATATACACTTTTTCATTCAGAAAATCTAGCATCAGACTTCAAGCCTTAGTATAGGTGAATAAATTTAATCAAAAAATTTGATTGTTAAAAAATATGTAGAGAAACAATGATAGATTCTTTTTATTTGTCTCTTATTTAATTATTTTCCTTGTTTATTGTCTCTAATAAAGCCGCATACAAAATTTTTTTGAGTCGAGATATATAAGTAATTAAGTGACGTAAAAACTTTAATAATTTTAATGATGGAAATTCTTAGCATACATTTTTATGCGTTTAGCAACTGCACCATGTAATAACGAATCTTCTGAGCGCTTTGATGCTGATGCAGTGAATGACGCCTTACCACCCGAACTACTCGGACTTCCATTCAGTGAAACATTTATTTGCTGCTGAAATGATGCAAATAAGACATGAAAAATTTTTAATCAACTAATTTATCCAAGCAAAAGTTAAGTAACAAAATTTATTGATTACCCTAATGTTGTTCATTGATTGTTCAATTCGCGCAGTTTCATTCGCAGATATCACTTTTCGTTTTGCTATTTCTAAAGACCTGCAATGATATAAAATTTTGTTTATTTATAATCCTAAATGTGAAAGCACTCAGCAAGACAAAAAATTGATGCTATATTGTGATTTAGAATTTTTCATTCTTGTTTAAGCATTTGATTGTCTTATTCTAAAACCTAACTTGTCCCAGAAATCAAGGTTTGAACGAATGGATTTTGCCATTCACCAACTTTATTTGAATATGATAAGGCATAAATAAACCATATTTGAGCGGAATAAACAAAGAGACAAACAAAGAAAGGAAGATATTGCAGAAAAGTGTAAAAAAAGAAGGAAAATCAGAAAAAGTAGCAAATGACTATCACAAAATAAGACTGAAGAGTTTACAAAAACTAAAGTCACTAAAAACCGCAAATTAACTTACGATTTTTTACCCGAAAGTGGCTTCACCTGCATTGTAGGTTTGATATTCGGTTGAGAAAGGATACTGTTTGCATTTGGAATATCGTTACTGCAATTATTTCCTTTTCACTAACTAATACTTAACAATTTATAAAGTTATTCCTGTTCTTTTCTTCTAAAATGGTCCAGTGAGTGACCATCCTTAATCAGTCGACATCACAAATATAGCTTGAATGATGATTGGGAAAAGCAAGGAAAAACTATTTGTTTGACAAATTTTAAGCATCATTGAGTTTCACTTCCAAAAATAAATTCATTTGTTCTTTTAGGAATCTGATACATGCTTTAGCGAACGTTTGATTCTTAATAAATTCATATTTAAGATCAGAAAATTCTTGTAAAATAAATGAAAAAAGAATGAAAAAGAATGAACAGAATTGAACGAGAAGTAAAGATATTAAAAATTTTACTACAGTGCTTTTTACATCCCTAAAAGTGACTTCCAGAAAAACAGTACAACAAAACATACGAACATACAGCATCCAACCGTTATGATATATGACGTCCTTATGACTGAGTACTTCTAAGTCTTTTGACAAAATCGGAAATGTGCATAACCTGATATTTTTTGGATTAGATATAGATTTCGACTTCAATGAAAATGAAATGCTAAGGTGCACTAACTCATTAATTTTCTTTTGCGCATTGGTTAAAGTTATGAAGCTTTGTCTTTGCAGAGGAACATTAATATTCAAATGCTTCATTATTATTTCAACTGGACGACCAGTTTTCATGAGCGATTCGTCATCACCGCCTAATACTATACAGTTCAATTCAGTAAGCAATAAAATACCACGTCGAATGCATACATTGTTTGTTAACAGAATCTAAAATAAAATAACAGAAATGATATTTATCATGGAATTAGGAAGAGTTTTTTATCACCTGCTAATTTTAACATAATTATACATAAATATATGAAAAAGTTCGTCAATTATAGAAATACCTGAAGAAAAGAAATATAAGGACGAAAAAACTTCGCAACAGTTAATACTAATTTCTATAATCTACAATCAAAAACAAAATCTACCTTACACCCTGGACATGTCAGAAGAGAAAGAGCACTTAGCATACTATATTCCACGGCCTTCATTGATAACTGACCGTCCGTCACTTCCATTGAAAGCATACGCTTCGCATTTTGCTAAAAGAAATGAAGATCTTTCAGTTGAACCACCAAATAAAGAAATTGTGATCTATTAGATAGTAAGTCAAAATTAATTAAACAGACTCAAAGTGTTGATGAATAACTCAATAGTATCCTCATTTTCGCATATTTATATGTTATATAATTTGAAAAAAAAGATCACAAATGGATCAGTGTTTGTTTCATTTTCTTCCATTTTCAGTTGAAAACCAGAATTATCCTCAAATTTATTTGTTAAATTCCTGTACTGGGAATACATTGATGTGCCGATATCAACAACCGAATTCACCTAAAATGAAAATAACACTCAAGCTGTAAAGAAAAGAAAATTTCAATAATATATTAAAAACAAACAAAATTATAATGAGGTAAGATTTGTATTAAATTTGCTACTAGAATTATGCTGTCTTAATACATATGTCATCTGTTTCAAAAAAAAAAAAAAGTAAAATAAATCATACCTGTACCACAGTGTTACCTCCAAGCATCATTCGCTTGGAACAATTGTCAGCTGATAAAGACAACAGTGGTTTTGTGGATATTTTGAGGTTGGTGTAAAGCCACTGTTCATAAACAGATGATAATAAGGAATTACTGCTAAATCCCTGAAAAATTTAGCAACTTTTTGAAGTGAAAAAAAAAAAAAAAAGTTACATATTTTGATAAAGTAACGATCCGTAACAAAGAAACTTAGAAAAATAGAAGAAAGAAAAATGTTCTAAGAACAAAAATAACTTCTTTCGCTTGTTTAATTTATTTTTAACTTTGTCTGTTTGTCAATCATACACAAACTTTATCCTTCCAAAATTACTTTATGTTTCCTCTAAACGACCAACATTAGGAGGAAGGCATACTGAACTTAAATTTGTAAAAGACATTACCAGTGATTTATCATAAAGTACTTACTAAGGAGTAGAGGTATTTCATCACTTCGGTTAACCATTCTTCATGTAATGTAACATTCAGCTTCTCACTAAAAAAATCCTTGATGATCTCGATGTCCATCCATAACAGTTGGTAATATCAAGAACTAAAAAAAAATCTGAATTCTTTAAAATACAATTGCATAAAGAATAATTTAAGAAAATAATTTGAAAAAAAACTACAATGGGAAAGATCAAATTGTACTCGTTTAAACCATGAAATTTCCTGAAAAGTATGCGGACTGTTACTATTAGGTAGAAAAAAAAAAAAAAAAAAAAAAAAAAAAAAACACATATACAAACAGAAGATAACAGAAATATGAAGAAATAATCCAGTTGCAAGCAAAATTAGACTATCACAATTATAATGATTTGTTCATTTGCTTATTTTAATGATTCCAATCATTTAAAAGTTTTCTCTCTATCAATGATCAAAATATGAATGGATGTGTCAAAGGTTTCCTATAAATATATAATACTTCCGACAAAGCTATGTTCTACATCTTCATGACAGGAACCGTAATAATTATCCGGAAAAAGAAAAGTCAGTCAGACTAACAATTAATGATTAACGAGAAGTTCCCATCCCCAATCTAATTTACCGCAAGCCAAAACACAAAATTTTGAATCAAATTTTCTACGCCGAGCGTAGGGTACACTGTGCAACCTCTGTAGCTCGCGCCATCCCATTCTTTCGTAGAGTCTGACATTACAGACAGAACGTTTAGATTAGGTGGAGGACTTTTGTTTTTAAATGCAAACTTAAAATTTAAGTTAAATTCAACTTAAACTTATTGCTGTTACGTTGGAGTTTCCACTGCTATGTTCCTAGCTTTAATAACAAGCCGCAGATACTGAGCCTATTCATTCTTGGCTAATTTTTTTTTTTTTTGTTCCCTATTTTTATATTACAAGTGGACACATATATCAACAGTATTCTTCACGATAGCTTCCTTTCTCATAAATGATCAATCATTTATGCAGGTATGGGACAACTCTACCTCCTGAAATTTGCATATCATTCGTAAAAAGCAAGTAAAAAGAAGTTCCCACTCAAGAATGCTCCATTTTCTATCAAAGCAATACAGGACGATCTACGTTAAAAAAATATCCCTTCTCTTTTCTTCAAGATACTACTGTTCATGGAATTTCTTTAAGGTATTGTTGAAAAGTTTTTTATGATTTATCCAAAATATGAACTATCAAATGAGCAAGTAAACTTTCAGAACTTCTAGTTCCAAGCAAATTTATTAGCTCTCCAATTGCTATAAGCTAAGCTGAAGTAATGGAATACCATTTGATGATAGTATGGAGAGAATCTACACCACATATCTGATTTTCAATGCAAGAATTTCTAGCATTCCTAAACAAATGTATTTGTGGTTCACCACTACAATACCAGTGACGACAACATTCATTACAAGTATTACTGGTAGTATTACCATTGCCAGTGTATTATTATCTTGTGCAGTAAGGAAATCCAAACGTCCATACAAGCCAGGGCATTTACCTGAATTTGTGGTACTAAATCTGTTTTCCCTCAAAATAAAGACAATATATTTCATTTGTACCGCTTTTCAATCACTGATTCTCAAAGTACACCTCAAATGTTCTTAAAATGACAAATAACAAATACTGCCGTGATTTATTGCTGATTGTATTGACTGCTTTCGTTTTTCGAAGACATTTTCAAAAATGCAGGATCCAAGCACAAAAGAAGCAGACACGTATTACGGAATGAGGAGTACAATTGCATTTCCAGTTAAAGGCATAAAAAGTGAGTTTACCTCTGCATTTAGTTCTGCTCAAAAAGTGCAATTCAGAGTCTAAAAAGTATAAAACTATTCTCAGCTCACCAATCCTCCAAAATATAAATTCATTACAGCACAAATCAGAGCATAAAGTAAAGCATAAGCTTTCATTACAATCGTGTATGAAGATGACTAACAACTTCCACATTGTCTTCGAGCTATAATATTTTCATTTTCATCCGCCCTTTTTTTAAAGTCAAACGAAAACATGATCTCAAGGAGCAACAAGCTAGAGCAGATATTGAATTAAATCCGGAAACTAAAAACAGAAATGATCTGGATGGAAGAATCCAATTAGGAAGTATTCCAATACGCGAAAACAGTAAACCGGTGAGTTTCCCTACGCAGAATTTTCACTTCAAAAGGTCAAAATGCGCTTCATCAATCTATATTAGCATGAAACACAGTGATAACAACAAAAGTCAGCACGAAATGAGGTTTAGAAACTTTACTTATCAAGAATCAAAAACTAAAGTATTTCAAAAAAAAAAAAAAGTGACAATTAGATGTATGAGAATTTTTTAATATATAAGAACTAACACAGCCTCAAAAACAAACTCAATATGGCTGGAAATGCTAAACCTGCGGGCTCCTTTGTGTTATTCCATTTATCCCTCATTCTGACTGGATTTGTTCATGCAACCTATCTATAAAATGTCCATAAAAAAAATGTGTAAAAATATAAACAAAAGATGAAGCTGTTCATAGCATTTGATACCGATATTAACGTTGGGAGGTTATGCATAAGAAACAATTTCAATTAAAGTACAGAACCAACCTTACGGATCCGTTACTATTACAGACATAATTGCAAAAACAAAACAAAATATGTACTGTGGCTTGTTTACATTAACTGAAATATGCGCGAGATGTAAATGAGGCTACAACAAGACCTGAGAAATTTTTGAAAATTCCTAAGGAAAAGAAGGAAATCGAGAATTATACACTCTAATCCATCAAACTGATGCTGTTCCGAACAGTGATTGTACGATCGCTACAATCTCACATGGGAAATACATTGAACTTTAGCAGAAAAATCAAAAACATTCTAAAAAGAAAACTTTAAAAAAAGAAACTTTACATTGACAGAAATTATTCACCGACGTTTCTTAGATGACGAAGAACCTTCATCAGCACCGCTATCAGCTGTTCTCTTTTTCAACTCTTTACCTGATTCCTTAGCTGACTGCAGCAATTGGCCGAGACCGAAGATATCTTCTTCTTCCTTTTCGAACTGAAAATTAAATTGGTGTAAACAAAAATCAAATTTTTAGAGTAATGAAATCAACACTAAAGAAAGAGTGGTGCTATAGAATCCCTTTATCCCTTACCAAATTTAAAATCTGCCAAAAAAAAGATCTTACTAAAAACTTTATTCATTATTTCTTGCAGGCTTTGAATGGAAGTAAAAAAGACGGGTTCGTGTTTTAAAATTTGAAATGAAATGGATTAAAGAAGAATGTTACGCAAAACATGTTTCTAATTTTGACAAACTTTTGCATTGTTCAGATAAAATATAACTACTTTAAAAACAGTATACAGTAGTTCCAGAAAAAAAAAAAACACTGTAATTATGTCGATTGGATTCAGTAAAAGACAATTTATGCGCAACGTGAGATATGATTAGCCCCTATCCCTCCTCCAGAGAAAAAAGAATTGTTTGTTCGAGAACAAAGAGTACAATAGTAATGCAATCCATAAATCAAACCTCAACAGGTCCAGCATTACGTGCTGCTCCAGGTTCAGCACCGCCAAATCCTTTATCAGGAACAAATCGATTAGTACTAATTATACGATCCAAATCATCACCGTAAAGATCTTTATCAAGATTTTTGCCTGCAAATAACATCTCTAAGATTCCACAAACATCAGACTTTTTATGTTTTTTAGCTAAATCTGCCATTGAATAATAAATAACAAAAAGTAAATATAAGAGAATCAAATCCTCTAGCTTACTTGGCCGATAAATATGTTGCTGAATATTATCCTGAGCACGCCACGGTTTATCATACGCGCTATATGTTTCATCATCAATACCACCACTATCCAATCCCTAAAAGATGCCACAAATGATATAAAACTTTTTTTGCATTCTATATGACTTAAAAAAAAAAAAAAAAAACAAAAACAAAAGATTCAAAATAAGGAACGATAAGAATCAATTTTCAAAACATCTTCAATAATAAAGAACCTTAGACTGATCAAATAGTCGCTGGTCAAACTGTGTTTCGTGATGTCTTGCTCGAGCATCAGGCAAACCAAGTGCAATTTTCTCGCTGATATCCCGTTCACGACCTTTCTTAAACCTATCCAACTTATCTGGATTGTTTCGTGCAATATTTCTTTCACGACGATGCTCATCCAAGCGATCACGTCTGCAAAAAATCAGGAAAATTAGACAAACCCTAAATCACAATTATAACTGTTTCATACGCTACTTTTCACTTTAGGTTATTTTCGTCCCCAAAAACAGTTCTATTTGACAATACAGAATTTTGTGCCATTTTTTTTTCTTTAAACAAATTTCGTTCCCTAAAATTTCGTTCTAGTCACTCATAAAAAAAAAAAAAAACTGTGATTTTCAGATACACTGAAAACCAAGACGTCAAAGATAAAAAAAAAAAAAACATGTAAACAAGAGAACAATAAAAGCATTTAATCTACCTGATTTGATCACGTTCACGAGCTTCTTGATTTACTGAATCATCTTCATGTACCTTCTTCAGCACAGTACGTTCTTGCCTATAACATGGGTTATCAATAAATGAATGGTGCACAGTCCATCTAAACATATTAAAGTGTGTTGCATTATTTCTGTTAATCGAACTATTTCAGAAATCAAATAATACACCTAGAAAGTTTAATGCAAGTTGCATTTTCATAAAGGTAGGTATTTCGAGCAGCAATTTCTCTATTAATAATCATGGTTTCAAAGTAAAACAAACCTAGCTTTCGCAGCCATAGCCCTCATCTTTTCCTCCTGCTCAGCTTTCTTGTTTTGGGCGACACGACGCTCCATCTGCGCACGCGTTTCAACAGCTTCACGAGCTGTGCGATCAGCCAAATATAATGATTCCGCTAACTTGGCAAAATTTTCATTGATATGAACCTTTAAAAAAGATCTCCATGTTTTTTTTTTTTTTCTTCAAATAATGATTAAGAACTAGTTTCACGGTCATCTTGTTTAAATAAAAAGTGTTAAAAACGTTTGTAAATGTCAAAACCTGCTGTAAGCCTCTTCCATCAGCAGCCAATCGTTTATCCAGTGCAATGGTGAATCCTGAAAAGACCCTAAGATAAAGTAATTAAGGAAGAGATGACATAAATGTAAACCCATTCATGGAAAGTAACGTAAAAACACACTAGTTTAATTGCCTTCATCATTTTCAAATCATAGTCAGTTGATAAAAAAATTAAAAGGCTTGGACAAAGTAAATGTAGAAGACAACATTCATCCCATATCTCCCTTGATAAAAGTAAGAAGTACCTTTTGGATTCTTCCAATTCGATATGCATGGAGGAATCTTCCAGTCAGCTTGTTCTTTCACGGTTGTCTGGGAAAGTATACAAATATTTCATACTTAAGAACATTAATATTATAAGAAAATTATCAGTGAAATTAAATTAAACCATTGTGGACTTATGAACTAATGTAGAACTAAGAAGAGAAAATACAGAAAACCTTGCGAGGTGGCGAATGCATGACGGGAGCTGGAGGAGATGGAGGAGCACGTGGTATTTTCTGATTGATCCTGAAACGAAGTGAATGTATACTTACTAATGATGAAGAGCAATAACGATCAATTATCCCACTAATTAATTCACGTCAGAGTTTCTGTGATCTCACTTATTTGTCGCTTCTGATATTTATGATATACAGCCTTTATTAATAAAGAAAATGTTAAAAAATGAAAATATTACTAAAAAAATGACATACTTAAATTTGGGGGGCTCCATCGGATCTTGTTGTACTTCGACCATACGAATAATTCGCTGCTGAGCGCCACTGTTATGCCCACCACCTTGCTGACTTGGTGTATAGCGTATATATTGCACTGGATTCGGTTTCTGTGCGTGACGAACAGGTAAAGCACTTGCGACCTGAAGAAAATTGCATTATATAGATATACATTCAAAAATCTAGAAATTCTATTTATGAACACATTTATAAAACCATGCCTTCGTAGAAGTAATCTTTTCCAACGCCAAACGAGTAGCTTCGGTTTGTTGTGCAATTGTTTCCTCATCCGGTTTTTGGAATGATTCATCTTCTTCTTCCAACATTTTCGGTTTCATATCAGCCAGTCTTGTATAAATTATCTACAACTGTAATTTATGGAAAACTGTGCTGATAAGGTCGCTAATGAGGGCAAAAACAAGTACTTCTGCACTCCAGTTAATTTCAACTAGAAATAATTTTTTATAAATGCTCCTGCAATGGACGATAATCAATAGTAGTGTAACTGATGTGATGCCTCACGGAAAAAATTACTACTTTAGACACTACTTTAAAACCTACTTTATCCTTCGAATGTCCAATCCTAGCAATTGCGTCATGCCTCAGCTTTCCGTCAGCATCACACTGAAGTGCAGTCGTTTTATCGCTGCTAGCCTTCTTGCGCAAATCCATTCCCATGCCTAAATAGACTTTCTAACATTTTTGGCTTCATATCAGCTTGTCTCGAATAAATTACCTGCACTAATGTTACCAGTCCTGCAAAAGAATCACGCGAAAAAAGGAAGAAAAAAAAAATTCTGGCATAAGGGATCTGGGAAAGATAAGGGCACAAGAACCTTCTGCTAAAATAAAACAAAATAAAACCACCTAAAGGGAATTGCGCCACAGGTATCTCGGGAAACGCTCCACCATCACCGAAATCCTGCAGAAAAAAACCTTACTGATTGAAAAAGCTGATGAAAATTTATCGAATTGGCACTGCAATTAACTATAATAAAAATGGTTAGTTACTTCTATATTTCTCGGTATCCAGCCATTTCTTTTGCCGTATGGTGGTGGCTCTTTCATTACCACAGCTCCAATATTATCGCCTTTCAAAGCATCCTAAAACAGCAGCTATATTTATTTTATGCATTGTTCATTGAATATGAGCAAAATTTTTGGCTGCTATTTTCTTTGTGCTTATATTATGATAGTTGTTCGGTGAAATAAACTTGACAAATAAGAATGATTTTTGATTATTTCGCGTCCAAAAAAATTTTTGATTATTTCGCGTCCAAAATTGAGGAACTAACTTCTCGGCCTTGAAACCATGGGTCCCGACGAACAGACGACCATTCATCTGATGTTGAAGAAGGAGGTGGGAGTATGCTGCAATGCACAATAGAATCAGTGAAATTTGAAACACTAAGCATTCACCAATTAGTTTCTGAGACTTATTTAATTACAATTAGTTAGTCATAAATGACATAAAGATTATAAAAACCCCAACTTTCTTTTGGTCTTTAATCCTCCGGTTTAACTACTGTTTATAGACATTTCTGGGAAATAATAAAAAGTGTATGTTCCAAAAATATTTTGAAAAGACACATAAAAAAAGAAAAACATACTCAGCGAGCTTTACTGACATCCTTTTTTCAGCAAACACTTCTTGAAAAACACAAGTAACACACTAAAATAAAGTATATATACGCAACATATCACTTGATCTCATCATTTCGGATGAACTAAACTCTCGACAACTTAAGGCAAAAAACCATCCCATGAGGAACTCGAGACGACCACCGAGCTAACTCATTCGAACATCTTGCAATTAATTCTGGCAATGTGCCATCCGGATTGGCGACTCATTTGGATAAGTTACTCTGACTGGAGTAATATGAAAATATTGCTGTACCAGAATCAACTCATTGATTGCATTTCTTAGTGAAAGCAAACTTTGATTACATTTAATTAAAATAACGGAAGCATTGCCATGTCATTATATTTGCTTAAACTGTTTAAGTTCAAAACTTAAGTAACAGATTACTAATTAGATAGATTGATTCATGTAATTGACAGCTCCAGGAATAAAATTCAAACTCTTTTCCAAAAAATATAATTTGTCTTGCGAAGTATTTCTGAAAATGGAGCAAGTTTTATTGTCAATTATTATTGGTGCAAAGAAAGATCATAAATTTTCTGAATTAAATTTTCTTTTTTTTTGAAGTTCTTGAAGTAAATGAAGCGCCGTAACATTGATTGTAATCATAGAGCTATGCGTTATCACTGAAAAATGTTTTTATTCAAGAGATATTTTTATTATGCAATATTTATTTCCCTCATTACTTAATGCTAATTCAGCGTCTCATCCAAAAAAAAAAAAGAACTAAATTATTAAGTCAAGTAAAAAAAAAAAAAAAAAAATGTTAGAAATATATTTAACTGAAAATCTAATAGATAAATTATCAACCATATCACATATCTTTTAATCACCATATCTCTTTTATCATATATCATTTCGAAAAAAAAAAAAAAAAGAAACAATAAAATCCTCAAAAGATTTGACTTCTGACCTTCCTTCCTATTCATTTTTTTCCTTTTTTTTTTTTTTTTTTTTCACATAATTTCGATGATATTTCAGTGAGGAAAAAAATAAAGATATGGCAGCAATAAGGCATCAATCCTGGATTTCCGGTAAGTATTCATATCAGATATATTTCAAAAAACTATTAGTTTCTAGAAATTAGTTAACAATCTTTCAACATAATTTACTTCGTCTAATTTCGCCTTACTTTAATTCTAACAAAAACTTTTCTTATTGAAATGAAGATATGTCTTTCCAAAAACAGATATCTTTTTTCCACCTTTTTCAAATTGCTGTTGACGATTTTCTCATAACAATACAGTTATCACTAATCAAATTGAAATGCTCAAGTAAATTATATCACAGACAACTTATATTGTGCGCGCGCGCATTTGTCTCAGATTGATTATTGAAATAAAATATATTTATACCAAAAAAAAAAATGTCTAAAACTAGCTTAATTATAACTCCTGCTGAAATACATGTAAGCAGAACCTAATAATTATAGAATATTTTTTTTTTTTTTTTCTTATGCTGACAATATTGCAAGTTTCAAATTTCTCCCTGGAAGTGAGTTCCTGAAAATAAATAGGATAGATAAACCAGGAAGATTAGCCATCATTTTATAGTTCGATATACACTTTTTCCTTTTCTTGATATACATATTAGCTATCATTTAATAGTTCGATATGTATGTTAAGGAGTTTTTTTTTTTTTTTTTTTTTTTTTTCGTTGAAGTATTTGGAAGAGAAAACTTCTCTCACATCATTTTTAATCGGATCCAGCAAGCATTTCTTCAATTGTTCATCCCAAGGTTTATTTTGTTTATTGAAACATACAGTTGTAGATAACATTTGTTCTCACATAGGTTAATGAATTTTTTTTAATATCACTTACAAAGTTAGATATTAATGTTAAAAAGATTTACTGAGAAATTTTACTCATCTTCTGAACGAATTTCTTCACTTCTCTTCGTTTAAACAAATTTTCCTTCAATGTTATGACATAATTTGAACTAGAATTTTCTTCTCTTATAACATCTGCAAACTTTATCTTTATTACAGTCAGAAAAATGTATGAATCAATTATTCTAAATGATATTCCCTAGAGCTAAAAAAAAAAAAAAAAAAAAAAAAATAAGAAATGAAGATGTAAATAGATGTAAGATGTGATATACCACTGAACATCAATCATTTGAAAATGAATGATTCAAAAATCTTTTTAAGCAGCAAATTGTTTTAAGGACATATAAGTGTCACACTTTATGTTTTCTGAAGCATCCTAAACTGACAAACAGGAATACCATGAAGAATGCTGTACACATCACCGGGATTTTTGAAACACATAATCATTTCAAATTATATAAAATCATTTTTTTTTTTATAATACACAGAGATAAACACACACATACACACAAAGAAGGAGAGAGAGAGAGAGAGAGAAAAGAAGAGAGACATAGCGCTAATCGTAATGCTAAACACAAAACAAGTAAAAAAAAAAGAAAGAAAAAATATTTTGAAATCGAAAAAGGCTGCCTGATTTTTTTTTTTCCAAGACCACAAAATCAAACACATTGAAAAAAAAAAAAAAAAAAATAATAATAAAAAAAAAGAAAACAGAAAAAGATGACAGATCTATTCATCAACAGATTTCTACTACTTGTTCTCATTCTTACTTAACTCTGATATTTTCAAATTACTACAAATAATCTACTGTTAATATTAAAATGATAGCGTAACGGAAGCACATGTTAAAGACACTATCTAAATGATTGATTTAGAAAAAAGTCAAAGCAAAAATTAAAAGCCAAAAATCCACTTAAATCCTAGAGTATAAATGAAAGACTCTTTGCTTCATTTAATAGCATATTTCAATTCATAAAACTAATTATGCATCATTTTTTCAGATAAAATGTGTAACTGTACGAATTGAAAAAGATCTGTGAAAAGCAGATAAACATGATGTAAGGCTAAAATATACAAAAAGAGAAGGAAAGAAAAAACTAGCGAATCTAATCAAACAACAAAAAGGATCCTTTCTTCAAGTTCTGCCAACTAGAAATGTACTAAAATGTTGGCAAGATTACTTATATTTAATTGGAGGCGTAAGATAAACCAGGTTAGAGCCTAGAATTTCAATTTTTTCACCATTGATGATTTTATCAAATTGTATTCTTCTAAAATTCAAAAACAAACTGGGCTTTAAATACATGCTTATATAGATAATGAGGTTACATTTTCAGACCTCTATATCAGTCTGAGAAATAAGTGAGATTTTTTCGGAATCTGGTTTAACTTAGCTTCAGAAATTTTCGAGTGCTAAGAATTTTTGAAGAGGTGATTCTTGTGTATCATCAAAAAATTCATCGAATCCAAAAAATGATAAAAAAATTTAAAGGTATACTACAAATTTTCCCTGAGTTGACAAAAAATCTGCATCCAACTTCACATTTTCCATATATGAATAAAACAGGAAAGAACAGAAAGAATTAAAAAAATATTTTCACCGGTTAACCAAGAGAAGCAAAAGAAAACATACACAGAGCTCTACTATACATGAGGCAGCAAAAATATATCACTTTAAGGAAGTATCTTCTTGCAGATAAAAAAAAAAAAAAAAAAAAAAAGGACAAAGAAGCATTAAAAAAATTCCAGCTAATGCAAGCTTCGGAACACAAAAGATTTTTTAAACAATCTCCGGCAAATAGCACAGAATGTATTAAATGATTCTTTTACGAGAAACAAATATAGCACGGGTAAAATTTCAATTAAATAACTTCGAGGGAGCAACAAATATAGAAGAAAAATATTATATGCATGATGAAACATCGAAAGTATACCATATTCAAGCGATACACAAAATCAGAAAAAAAAAACCGAAAAATTCTTTCTTGAAACGAAAACTAACCGGATAATTTTCACCAAATGTTTAAAACAAAAAAAAAAAAAAAAAACAGAAAGAATAAAAAAAGGAAACAATTGTAGAAATATTACAGAAATGACACTCACTAAAAAAAAATTCTATGTATAAATGACTGTACGTAACCGATGTAAGGCCATATATATCTTTATAAAAAAAAAAAAAAAAAATAGATTTAAACCGCGAATAAGCTAACAGTAGTAGTATAACTATATTAACGAAATTAATTACTTCAATTGTATACAAAAAATATCTGTATTTGAATATTATGATTAACTATACATAAGCAAACAACTGAATGCCATACATGCATTTCAATTAATTGAATTTACTTGTAGCTCATTCGTAGCTAAAATTAGGAATACATATTTCTTTATTTATGTATTTACATATATGTATATGCAAATAAATTGTGTATATATGTATATATTGAATAAATTGTACTAAAGATGAAGAGGCAGCACTGAAAGTACTGTGAGTGGAACAGTTTTGCAGATAGTAAGCAGTTGAGAAGATTATTACTGTTCGTCTGGGAAGCCAAAAAAGAGAGATTGTTTATTTAATTGATTGTTTATTTCTTCATGAATGCAAAATAGTAAGTGATATCATGATGACAATGCGGCAGTCTCCTGAAAAGAATAAAAAATTATATCGTTTCTTGCAAATCATAATCAGTACATAGACAAGAGGAAAATGATGCTCACACATAATGTAGTATCTTTTTTTAAGTTTACTTGAACTTTTCTAGATCCGTTATTTTTGTATCGAATCCTTTAGTTTGTAATTTATTAAATCATCTGTATGTTAAGGGGCATATTACACCGCCTAATGAACCATATATTAAACAGCATCAGTAAGTTTCATGTTATAAGCCTTGTGAAACTCACAGCTTTAAAAATATTAAAGATAATCCATTTAATTTATATCACAGAAAACCGTTCCTTATTTAATGCAACTTAAAAATTTTAAAAATGAGAATAAAATATATAGCTGCGATTACTATACATAGTTGAGCGTTGTTAGTTTATGTAAAAAAGAAAAAAAAAAGACGATTTCCCAATACCTGTTTCAGAAGAGTTTTTTGCATATCAGAAAATGATTCACATTCTTCAACTATCATTTCTTCATCCTCACCACCTTCAGCAGCACCACCTATACCCCTGTTGTCTTCCTTCCCTGTAGGAAGCACTGCGCCATTATTACTAATACGATGTCCATCACCAGGACCAATACCAGCACCACTTGTTGGTGCTGAAGTTGGATTTCGATTAACATTCATTGCCTAAAATAATAAAGGTTAAAAAAACAACGAAGAAAAAATAAAACAAACAAGTAGTACTATTATAGGGACCTCTCTGCATCACAAAATTCAAAAAAAAAAAAAATTTTTTTTTCCTGACATTATAATATACACAGTAGTCATACCTGTAACCAGTTAAGGACGATTTTATTGCTCTGAGTGATATTTGTTGGTAACTGCGAACCATTTAAAGACACACTGGAAAATGCAAGGAGTGATGTTGCATCAGCAAGTGTTGATGCTGCTGCAGTCATTACTTTGTTCGGACTGTCTATTGCTGCAAATTTTATTACTGATAAAATGAGCAACAACTCAAACAATACAAGTGCAGTGATTTCAGTGCTGAATTCTGTGATAATCATAGTGCTTTTTGAAAGTATGAATGTAAGTTAATAATATTAAAATAAACTCTCCTATGATCAATATCAAAAGAGATGACCCATAGACGTTGGAATGAAACGAAAAAATACAAAGAGGAAACTAGAAGTGCTTCCGTCACAAATAAACAAAACAAACTGCTTGTTGCTTCAGTGGGAGAAAATTGTCGATTATTTTCACGATTATGATTATTTGCAACAACACATTTCCGCATATGTTTCTCGAGTGTTGAATGTACCGAAAATGGCATTTGACAAATGTTGCAATGATAAGTTTCCTGCAGAAAAAAAAAAGAAAAAAAAAAAACATTTCGCAACTGTAAAATTTCTTTTCCTAATAAAAAATCATAAAAGCAACTAATATTTTTCCCCTTGCAAATTTCAGATCATTTTATTATTTGAAATCAAGAAAATCTTTCGAATGTTTATTGTTTAAAAATCACTATTATCCCATACAAGATACGACGCAGTTTTTCAATAGCTAAATAATAACAAACAGATCATGAATTCGCACAGATTATTCTCAATTTGGTGTCGAAATTAATAAGTAATTACAAACCTTTCCTTGTTGGCCATGAGTTCGCATATGCCGAGTTAATTTACTACTTTGTGCGCAAGCATACGAACACAGACGACATTTGTATGGCTTTTCTCCAGTATGACTTCGCAAATGGACAATCAGATTGGAACGATTCGTGAAAACCTTGAAAATAAAACATTAATGAATAAAGCTTAACAAAAAAAAAAAGTGGAATAAGAAATTAACATCCCACAAAAGAACAGTGAAATAAAATAAGTGTATGAATCTCATATCAACCTCAACTTTCTTTTGATAAATGAAGGTAAAGGTGTTAAAAATGCTTTGTAGTTATAAATAAGATCTACAGACTAGAAGGTACAAACTTAGAGCACAATGCGTATGAAACAAGTCTTATTTTTTGAATTGAAAGCAATTCTATTTCCATTTTATTAATCAGCTTGATTTAATTTAATTTTTTAAAATAATTTGAAAGTCCGCCAACTTTGCAACAAAATGTGCAGCGATCCTTTTTAGCACTTGTATCACGACGTGCTGCTGGCTCAGCGAATGCTAAATCATCGCTGTCCACAACATTTAACAGAGTCGATTTTGTATCCTCATTGCTGGAACAAAAGTATGAAGAAATTAACTATTTATAAAGAAACTGAAATCGAATCGCATTAAAAAGAATAGAAAACGAGGAAAACATATAAAATATTTCAGTTTAATTTAAAACTAAAGGACTTTTTTGAGAGGTTTACTTTCTGAACATGAACTGCTTTCTTCCTTCCATCACCCATATAAAAAAATAATTCGAAAGTTTGCCAACTTTACAAATGAATGTACAGTGATCCGTTTTAACAGATGGCTATTACCTATAAAGCACTTATAAATTTCATCCTAACATTTTCTTCAGCAAAATAATTTCGTAGTTTCGATATATCTCAAGATTATAAAAGAAGCTCATACTTACAAACCTCTCATCATCCATCCTTGACATTTTACTATGCAACGGAGCTCCAGATGGTGACAACGTTTCCGAACCATTATTGAACAACCGTTGTCTTTTGCACCCAAATGTCCCTAAACCATTCCAAGGCCCTTGCTTTACAGCTGGACTGGAAAGTTGATCTTGCGTTGCGGTATCGGTCCTACCAAAACCAGCTAATCCAAGTGACTGTGCTGCCGAATTTGGTGCCACAGGTGACGGTTCTTCAGGACTACTGTAAGACATGTAATCAAAAATCTGGTATTGATGCTTGATATTAAGAGGATTCCATGTAAAACCTTTCTACTCAAAGATAATTAATCACAAGCTGTAATTTAACACAGTTAACCAGAACGATGTTCAATCCACAGATCTAGCAGAAGAAACAACCTTGTGATTTTGGTGATCGCATTAAAAGCACTCCCATTGCTGTTTGCGGGAGTAACTGACGGACTACCAGCACCAAGCAAATAAGATGCAGCATTATTCAATGAGAATTGTGCATAATATTCCTGCATTAGGGCCAGCATATTGGGTATATTTGGTTGCATCCATAAATTCTGCAAATTAAAATCAATTAAAATGAAAAGAAAAAAAAAATACTTAGAATATTACTTGAAAATTCAAGATATTTAAAAAAAAATTTTTTTTCAAAATATTATTATGGTATTATGATCCAAAAAGTTGTCTTTTTGTACCGTCCTTTTTATATGCCTTTTTCCATATTCATTCATAATGCTACTTTTCTTCGTCTAAAGACCACAACAATTCAACCTGCAAGGATGGATGTTGTTGTTGTTGTTGTTGCTGTTGCTGTTGTTGTTGTTGTTGTTGTTGTTGTTGTAAAGCAACTGCAGCTAATGTGGCAGCAGTAAGTGAACTGGAAACATTACTGAGAGCTGAACCGGGAAGAAATGGTGCAGTTGAAGCAGTCGTTGATGCGATGCCATTACTTGAATGCTCATCATCGGTATTCTCTGATTGTTGTGTTCTGCAATTGTCAGTAGCTGCTTATTTAAGCATTCAATTCCATCATTCCAGCATATCAACATCACTGCTAGACATACATGGATTAAAAATTTGAGTTTTGAATACCTTTTAATGGTGCTAGTTTTTAGGTGTTCATTAGTTCTAGACGATATCACGGTTGGGCTTACTACATGACATAAATCAGTCAACGGTTCTCCTGAAAATAAAATACTTTTTAGAAAATCAATACTACGCACTCTATATTTGCACGGTTATCAAACTGTTCAAAATAAGAAAGGATGACAAGATTTTGGAGTTGTAAAGCACAAATACAAAATCGATACAATCGTGAGATGTACTCCAAAACTAATGTTCTTCCTTCTGTACTTGCAGTAATAAATGTAGCCTCAATACAACTTTGTTTTTTTTTTTTTTTTTTAACAAGTCGTGCAAGCATACCTGCTTTTTCAGCGATCTCTTTTAACCGTTCAGAGCAAAATGCATTCAAACTGAAGCCACCTTTACCTGAATTATTAAACAACAAATATATAAATGTTAATTACAAGTCTTGAGGAGTGGAATTTAAAAACTTTCATGGCATTTCAAAACAATTACTCTTTTCTCATTTAAAATTTGAAAACCCAAAAAAAAAAAATTTGCATACAGACCGTTTAGTTTGCTTTTTGTAGTGGAAGTGTTGAAGGGTGATGCAAATGTGAGAGACGGTGGATGCATTGATGTTTTCGGTGTTAATAATGATGATGATGATGATGAAGATAACGATGAAGTAATTACTGTCGATTTTGGTAGTCCCATCCGAGACATACACGGCATCTCTTCCTGAAACTAACATACGTAAACATATTATCAAAATAAAAATGTTTAACAGTTATCTTACGAAAATTGTGCTACTAAAATAACTCCAATAGTGAATGATTGGTAAGCGAACTTTAAAAACGATATTTTATTACAATCTGAAATAACTATAGTTCATATCATCACAGTTGTTCAATGAAATCCGGATTACATCTGACAAATACGGTCATAATGCATATGACTGTTCGTCTGTAGGCTTTTTTACAACACCGTAATACAAATGTATTATAAGGGGAAGGTGGAATAATATGATAAAAAGCTAATATACGAGTTCTATAAAAAAAAAAAAAAAAATAGAAGAAAAGGGTTACCTCACAAATACGAAGGCCATGGGCAATAAATACATGTTTTAGTAGATTCCAAACATCACTGCATACATGTTTACAAGAGTGACAGGTTAACGATCCTCCGCCAATCAAAGACACATTACTTTGTTTTGTATCTAAAAACGATTCTATTTTTTCCCTTAATAACCATTATCATAACATACATAAAATAGCTATATGCAACTTTTCTTTGTGATTTTTCGAAGACCAAGAACCAACTTCTTGAAGAATAATTATTTTTTATTAAAAACTATAATTTTATTATAGCAGCTATCATGATAATTTAGTTACTGAGTTCTTGCAACTATACATATGAATGAGGCCATAACTTTTACTAAATCCATTATTAATTAATTTCGGATTTATTTTTCTCTCTTTTAAATGTATTTTTATAGCTACGATTCAGTACCATCAGTACATTACATATTATTTAAACATGTTTGTCACAGAACAATCAGTACTATAGATAGCCTTTAAAATAACGAAACCCACGTCACCTGCTTCTACACATAATCTAAATGGGTATTTCAGAAAAGCTAGAAACAATTATATTCATAAAGTTTATAAAACTAATAAATAATTGCTTTCTAACAAGATAATATGTAAGTGGAGAAATGTGAAGTATAATGGAGCATGTAAATGAAATAATTATATCAGAAATGTTTTACTTCTTAAAAGAAATAATTAGCTTAAGAGAAAATTTAAGAGAAAATTCAAGTAAGATTTAAAGTTTATGAAAATACCCACATTTTGATAAACTTCAAAAAAGCGACATTTAATTAATTAATATGTATAGAGTTGGTTTTTTTTTTTTTTTTTTTTTTTTTTGTTCTCATCAACTTTTCAGCCCTCGAATATGGGAGAGTACACAAACATATATGTACACATATACACATAAACATCACATACACCTCTATACAGGTATTCCATACAGAGCTAATTTAATAAGATATCGTGAAGGTGTGTGTGTGTTTTTTGTATGACAGATTTATGTTTCATATATTTTATTCAATTTTTTTTTTTTTTTTTAGACTTGAAAAGATAATGGTTAGTACTTTTTTTCATTCTTCAAAAACATTTATTCATTCTCTCTCCTCATATGTTCCAAATGATTGTTAAAGCTAACAAAAAGACATAGACATAGAGGTAGTTGATGACTATTAAGCAAACAATGCAAGTTAATCATTTGAAGTTGCAGAAAGAAGCAAATTTCATTTCATTTCATGAAAAGGAATGAAAAGGCGCAAAAAAAAAAAAAGAAAGAAAATCAATTTTGATTAAACAAACATTGCATCTGTTTCGTTAGATCATTTTTATTCAGTGATGAAGTTTTTTTTTTTTTTTTTTAAAGTAATAAAAACCGCATCGGAAGTTGGGGAAACAACTAACTGTTGCTATGTTGACACAAAACGACAAGTCAATATTGCTATCTTTAAATATCATCCCTTGCCTAGAAGCAAACTAACAATTGTTTCATATAGTTTTTTAACTTTTTCCAATTGTGATGATTCGTTTTCAAATATTTTCAGTCAAAAAAAAAACAAAAAAAAAAAAAAAAAAAAGGCTTTTCAGATAAACAAACTTCACTTTTATTTTACAATTTTAGGATTTAGAGTTAAAGTGGGAAAAAAAGGCAAAAGCACTAATAAATAATAAATAACAAAAAAAAATAACTCCACTTAATATTCACATATCTAAACAACAAAATTATATGTTTTGCTTTTTCAAATATTGCTGTGTTAATGTTTGGTGCTTAATTAATCAGTAGTTTTATGAAATGTTTAGTACTTAATTAATCAGTAGTTTTATCATTTCTTTCTTTCACTCTGCAGCTATTAAAAAATAAAATCTGAATTATAATGCATCATTTACATTGGAAATTTTCCATAAAAGAGCAAAAGAATAGAATGTAAATTACTAGGTAATGTATCAAAATAAATGCATATGTGGAAAATTTTTGTGAGTAACAATCATATATAAGTATTTTAGAATGAAATATATTGGGTAGTTAGTTATGAATACTGATATCTTCTATAATATAATAATTTACTTATCAACATACTTCATTATTCTCTTTTAATATTTGTGTACTTTTCTTTTTTTTTTTTTTTTTTTTTTTAATGAATGTAAATTAATAACTAGTGATAGAAAATATAACTGGTTCGTAGAGCAAATGGAATCGTTGTCAGCTGTGCAACATCCAAATAACAACACAGAAGATGCTGTGATCATTATGATAGAACGGCAAGCATAAAACTTGTTTTCATGATGATAGCCAATCACATCCCATTTATCTTCTTTTATTTCTGCATGTTATGAATGAAAAATAGAAAAAAAAAAAAAAAAAAAAAAATGGACCAAAAGAAATTGAAATGAACGAAAAGTTTTCAATCACTGAGTTACTTAAGTATTAGAAAAAAGAAAAAAAAAAAGAATGAAATAATCGGAATTTTACTGCAATAAAAAAAAAAAAAAAAAAAGATCAAAACATGTTTATTTTACAGAGAACAGTTATGAAAATAACCAGTAATTCCTAGTGAATATTTTTCTCTAATCTTTTTATTTTCTCGTAGCAAAAAAAAAAAAAAAAAAAAAAACAATGTTTGAATATATATGTATTCAAGAAAAAGTGACAAAAAAAAAAAAAAAAAAACAGCTAAGCATATAAAGCAATTAAAAACATACTTCAAATCATGGATTTTCTTTCATCAATTTCTATCAAAAAAAAAAAAATCATTCAATGCAAACAATTCTAGTATTTTATCAAACACATCACATTTCCACCTCCCTTTTGATTGTCTATTTTTGCACCTTTCAACAACAAATCCAGTTTATTACTGCATTATTACTAAAAGGTTAAGTTACTATCAGCTATCGTTTCTTCTAAAATATGATAAAATTATCTAACTCTGAAATGAATAAACAATTAATTACTAATGCAAAGCTAGAATCTACTATGGAAGTGAGAAATAATTTATAGTGTAAAAATAAAGATATATATATATATAAATGCATAAAAAACAAAACTATTATCTTAGCCAAAATTTACATCCCAACATATTTTATTGATCAACTAACTGAATGATTAGGCAATAATCAAAGTAATAGATTAATTTCCCCAATTATGTTAATATTTATTTGTTAATCAATTAGATATGAATACTTCTAATTAGAAAATGAATTAACTAGTGGTAGAATTTTATTCCAACAAAGTAATATTAAATTTCGTATGCTAATCAAATTTTTTTTTTTTTGCCAAACAAGTTCTTTATTAGTTTGAGTGAGAAGTGATTGAGACATGAAAATGTGCTTGCTACTTCCTGCATCTAAGAATGGAAAAGCATACATAACATAACAATTACTTATGTCCAATTTTCAAAACAGAAATATAAATACTTCACTTTCAAAGCAATGATGGAGCGATGCAATTGGAGAGAAAGAGATGGGTGACACAGAGAAAAACACATATGACATAAAAACATATATGACATAATTTTGACATTCACTTTCTAACAATTGTAGACAATTCATTTCCTCTTCCTGTATCTTTCTTTTTCCCTCTCTCTCTCTCTCTCTCTCTCTCTCTCTCCCTCTCATTCCTATCAACTATTCTTTTGCAAAAATAATTATCTCCTCTAAAAAAAAAAAAAAAAAAAAGAAAAAAGAGGAAAAAAAAAAAGATCTAAATTTAGTAATTACATTGGAAAATACTCACATCTTTTTTTTTTTTTTTTGTGTGTATTTTCTCAGAAATTACATTGCTAATTGTTTTTTTATTTAATAATTTGAACTGCATGAATGATATTTCAGAATGTAACGATGAGAAATAATATCACTTTACTTTTCATTAATGCTTAACTCAAAATCTTAAGTTGTATTTTACATTTTTGCTCACAGATTCTCACAAAAAATTTTCAATGGATTAAAATTCTCAATGAAGCATCTGAATGAAGTAAATTAATTTCATTTATCGTCGTCACATTCTCAAATTTTATTCATGTGCATTGAATTTTTCTCTGAAATGATCACATGATTCTCAATTATTATTATTTAATCGTAACAGACAGTAAATGTGCAATGTTCTTTCTTCTAATAAGCTGAGAGTATTCCGAGACGAAATCTTCCGCAGTTTTCAGAGAGATAATTTATGCAAATTAGGAGAGTAGTAACGGCACTTTATTGCCTCACTAATAACACCGAAAGCGAAAAGAAGGCACATGAAAGAATGCCTAATTCATCAACAGTGCAATAAAATGTATACAAGAGATGCAGCCACATCTTTCAAGGCTATAAAAAATTGTCTCCCAGTGTATGACAATTTGCCAATTCTGCTATAAGTAACAAACAATAAAAAGTATAATATTGTACTAACCTAAAGTATCTGTGTCTGTTGTAGCGTCAACCCTATTGTTATGCTTTTCTTGACCTTCACCAGCTGTCAACATAAACGAAGCACTTTGATCATTTCCAGATGAAGATGGACCGCAGCGAGATGAATCACTCAAATCCTAAAAATTACCCATAAATTATGTTAAATTTTACAGTATAAGAGGATTACTAATAATATATGAGATTAAAGTAGTATGTGAGAAATCATATAGTAAACACTAAATATGTTAATTAAAAGTGATAGAGAAGTTTTATAACCATAGATACAGATAGATTACAGAAACTGTCCAATAACTGTGACTGAAATACTTACTGCAGATGAATGATGACAACTGACCAGAATTCGTCGACGACCTGGTCGGAGAGTTTCACTGGATGGATGAGCAGGTGATATATTTGAAAGGAACTCGTCTAATGGCGTCCGCTTATCACAACGTGAAATCTTGAAGAATAACAATTCAAAAATATTTAAATAACTATGTTTTCGTAGGAGTTTAGCTCTCATGTAAATCAAAATATTCTTAATAAACTGCTTTAAATTATACCTTCGTAATTCTTGCATCTTTTTCTAGGATTTTCACGATACTCATTGATATTCTTCCTAACTTTTAACAATTATTAGCAAATTTCGTTAGATACATTTATAAGAAATATTTTAATGGGATAACCTTGTGTTCAACGAATTCCACGAATGTTGATAACGAAAATTCTGCATGACAATCACCGCAAACGATAAGATCATAATGAACAGAACCTCTGGATTGTGGCACAGCAGCGAAGTCATCGTTACAATTCTCACTAGGTGAAGCTTCTTCGTCGCGCAATGTCTCCATATCTTTCATCTCGTGATCCACATCGACACATGAATCGATGCCACTGTCAATGGACGCCAAAGGTATGTTTCCTTAATTGATCATTTAAATGCTGAGCTCATATCAGAAGCTTTCCATTTCGTTTCGATGACTAATTCATTAAAAAAAAAAAGAAAAAAAAAAAAAAAAAAATTACTACTACTATCTATTCAGACAGTCATTTAATTATTTTGAACTCTAATAGTTCATACTTATGGAATTGAATAATCAAAAACATTTGTATTGTTTGTTCAAAGAATTTATTAGGCTGATTAAATTTCGATACATTTTAGTGCCTTATTTTCTAAATAATGAAGGCCGAGCTTACCATCAGATTTATTCATGGCTGCAACGGATGGAGTAGAGTGAGTGATATTATCACAAACCTTCGGTAAGAACAATTCACTCTCATCCGTAACATTAGCAGTACTACTGACAATTGTAGTCGTAGTAGTAGTCGTAACAGCAGATGATTGTTGATCATTACATTTATCAGTTATAGAAATATTCATTGTTCTACTGTGTTCTGTTATCCTGTCCACTATTGTGACACTACTACCATCGTGATTATCACCATTCACTACACTTTCTTTAATCGCTGCCGGTATTAGCATTGGACGACTTAGTGCAGGTTTACGTCCACGCCTGCTAATTATAGATTATCAGATTCCAAATATTTGTGCATTTTTTGAAAATACAAAAAAAAAAAAAGTTAAGGTCTATCATTTTCTTCGGGAAAATCGAACGAGGTTGAAAATTAATGAGAAAGAGTAATTAATGATGATAAGAGCATGAGAAGTGTCCACCCGTTCAATTTTTCCAATATGTAAAGAAAATAGACCAAATTAGAACATCTACAGAATGCCCGGCTAATAGATACAAAATAAAATGATAAATTAGAAAAAAAAAAAAAAAAAAAACCAGGAAATAACCTATTTACTCTGTAAATAATTAGTGGGTCAAATATTCCTAATTCCTTAGAAAAAATAACTAAACAGAGCTGAAAAAAAAAAAAGTATATTTTTCGTAATCAATCAATGTGAATTATACATCAAATAATAACTTTAACTTACTTTTTTGGTTCACTAATTACCGATGTACCAAGAGGATTTGTTTTTGTAGTTGCATTAATAGCAGCAGTAGTAGTAGTAGTAGTAGCAGTAGCAGCAACAGTAACAGTACTAGAGGTGGTAGCTATCGTACTAGTTGAATTGTCATTTCTTTTCAGAACTTTCGAACAATTTCGAAGGCCACTGCTCATTAAGGCGAATGAATGTGAATAGTACAGAAGGAAAAACAGCCACACAACAATAATTTCAATATGAAGTAAAACAGAAATGTAGAAGTTTTTTTTTGCAAATTTATGCAAATTTCTTCACACTCTATAGAGATTTATACAGGAAAATTGGTAGATGAATTTTTGAAGTGAAACCAGAAGAAGAAGAAAAAAAAAAGAAAAGAAAAACCAGTTATAGTCACCGGGTAATAACTGCAAGAATTGGCTAAATTTATACCAGTTGTTCACCTCGAGATTAGTTCAGAATTAAATAATACACCAAGAATAGAAATAGAAAAAAAAAAAAACAGTAAGTTTTTTTTTTTTTTTTTTTTTTATGGGCACTGAGATGCGTAGCACGAATAATAAAACACCGGGACTGCTAGAGCAAAGGCCTGAAATATTTTTATAATGTAGAAACACAATTGGAAAATTTTGAAAAAATAAGAAATGAAAATTTAAAACTAGCATTACGCCAAAATTTCAAAAAAAAAAAAAAAAAAAAAAAAATAGATATCAAGCTTCAGACTTGGAAATGGAAGTGGAATAAGTTTTAGAAAAACTTTAAAACAGTAAGGTATTTCCCATCAAATTTATTATAATTCACCACCACCATTTAAAAGTGAAAAATTAGTTTAATCTGATTTTCAAATCATGATTACATAGTATTATTGTAAGACCTCAACGACCATATTAAGTCACCAAGGTGAATCACTCATTAGTCCATTGGTTACGATTTCAATAATTACTATTATATAATGAAAGCAAAAATTATTGTAAGTATGCATAAAATTTAAAGAAATATTTTATGAATGGTTCGATTGTCTTTGATTTATGAAAGAGTTTTATGAAATGTTTGGAATTTGGATAATAAGATGTGAAGTAATGAGCTAAAATGTAGTTACTCAGATCGAATTTTTTAGGACATAATTAGAACATAATAAAATAAGGAGGAAAATAAATTAACTCATATGATAGAGTCAAAAGAGATGAGAACGAATGAATGGAACTCTCAAGTATTCACAAATGAAAAGTGGAAATTTTCAGCATCATCAAAATGCTTTTTTTTTTTTTTTTTTCTATTTTTTAAGCTGATACAGAAATGCAGTTACTCAGTTCATAGGACAGTCTATATATTACTGCCTTATCAGTTCCAAGTTATTATCAGTCTCATGTAATCAAATGTAGATTGGTCACTTTGTTAACATTGTAATATTCGAAAAGTGATACATGTACTTACTTTATTACCTAACTGAATTATAAAAGACTAGCACAACTATGAGAAGAGAGATGTAAATTAAAAATGTTTAAGAAAATTTAACACCTCTTTCTGCAGTCATTAGCAATTAGCAAATTAGAAATGGAAAGTGTGACAAAGACGGGCGCATACTGCACATCAATTTAATGCGCTGAATTCACCCCACACAACATGCTGCATAAACAAAAGGAAAAATTCCAGAATGATTTGATAATTGGTATCTTGAAATTTTTTAAAATACAATTATTAATGTAGAATGATCTAACAATGCTTATAGGTTAATAAGAGAGAAGCTACAGTTGCATATCACTAAGAAACTATTAAATATATAGTTTCTAGCAAACTGATTCCAAAATCATAAAAGAATGGAAGAAGAATAAGGATACTAAATCAGAATTATAGTATCACTAATGACCAATTCAATATTCGAAACAATTCATTCAACGATTACAGAAATCTAAGTGAAAATGCAAAAGATAAAACAAGAATATTTTAACTTACCACAAAATCTGTGCACTACTCCATGCTTTTGGTCATTAGCTAAGTACAGAAGTGAGAAGTACACGCCGAGATGATAAACGAGTGTTAAGTCGAGACTTGAAAAAATTAAAGAAAAAATTGAACTGATGCTTTCTTAAACCATTGATACCGTACTTAATGTGCTATCAATTCACCGACATGACGATTTGAATCCTTCTTGCCCGAAAATTCCAATTATGCTGTAAAATTGTGCACTTAAATTGCAGACTCTTTAGTCTGACTTATAAAATTATGACGTCCGCTGATGATAAAAAAAAAAACTATAAATTTTATCATATTTATAAGAAAAAGCTTGATCCACTCTTCTCAATAACAAACGACAACAATAACAGAAAAAAAATTTTTAATAAAATATTACAGAAAATAAAATTAAAGCAATCAGTAATAAAAATTTATCACTGAAATCTGATAATTACTACTGTAAGTAAGTTGTATAAATTAATATTAAAAGAAATAAAATGAAGAAAAGAAAAAAAAAAAAAAAAAAAAGAGAATGAATAAAATAGTTAAAAAGATATTTCTTCTAATCATTTTGACCACATTTGATGAACAACAAAAATAAGACAAATTGCGGTAAGCATAAGAATTCTTATCTTATAAAATAAGAAGTACAACACTAAGATCTGGTCTCTATTTGACAATCAAATTTGATAGTTGATTAGGAAATACTGTTTTGTTGTTGACATGAAATGGAAGAATGAACACTTTCAAGAGGCTATCATCTTATAGTGCAATGATTTCCTACAGATCAGAAGAACAAGCTAACAGATGGTGTGCTCTAAAATCCTACACAACCATTTTGCTCTTCAATTTCAGAAACAAAAACCACATTGGGAAAAAAATTCATCAATACTGTGTGATCAGCAATAGATCTTTTTGAGGTATTATCATTGTACAATAATAATAATAATAATAAGCTATCCATATCAAATAAATTAGTTTATTTTATGTTAATCAGTTATAAATTATCGATTGAAATACCATTATCAATTGCATTCAGTTGATTAGTGAATTATTTAAAAACTTATTATGAATAAAATAAATTGATCCAAGAAAATTTAACTGATATAAATTGATTAATTATAATAGATAATTAAGATTCGAGTACTACTTTTAGAATCATTTGAAGAGAAATCGGACTAAAATACGGACACAGCTAACATAATGCAAAATAAAAGCACATGAAGAAGAATGAAGAGAGTTGTGGATGTGCACAGGCAATAGAAATGAAGAATAGTTAAAAACCAGCTGGTGGCTAACTGAAAGCATTCTCTCTTGAAGTCCACGAACTTAGCATATACAGGAAAAGCATACCGAACAGGTGCTGGCACTACTGACTTTTCACTAATACACAAACATAAGTATAGCTGATATAAAGCAATTGATAGCAAATACTTTTTTCCATATGGAAATTCAAGATGTACTTTTTAGCTTGAAATTATTGGATCAGTTGCAGAAGACAACAAATACTTGCTAGATAATCCAACATGTGCAAAAGCAAAAAGTTTTAATGTCCACTGGATTACATGGATTGATTGTTCAAATTTAAATTTAAGAGTGAATTCGAAAGATTACTTAGCTAATGGTAGTCAAATAAGAAATCACATATGATTTAAATAACTTTCAAATTTTCATTGGAAAAAAAAAGAAGGAAAAAGAAACGAAAAAAAAAAAAAAAAAAAAAATGACATATTACTTTAGACCATATCTACACAATGATTTATAAAATTCATTTCTTATCTCTTATCAACAATGAAAACATTTTGAAAGTGAAATAATCAAAATAGAATGAAATAAAATTTGTTTGAGACATGCTCAATTCAATCCATATTTTTTGCATCCAATTCTATCGGGAAGAACAAATCACTCAGAATAAGATAATTAGTAGTAAAATGTTGAATTGAAATTGGAAGCTAAAATAAATTATGATTATATTTAAAACCATGGAATGGAAGTTTTTGGTGTGAATCGAAAAATATATAAATTAAAATTATCAATAGGCGAAATGGAAAAAGCTTGAAAAATGACGCATACTGGAGGACGAAAAATATGTGACAAAAGGCATTTGTTGGAAATATTTTTGGTAGATTGAATAATAGCAAATAACGGGGAAAGGAAAGAGAAAAAGCGAAGCGATAGTGGTAGAAATGTACACAAATGAATTTGAAGTGAAATGATAATCTCCAGTAAGGTCAAAGGTTACCAACAAAAGGTAGCCAATTGAATGCTACTGTTGACCGCTACTGGTTACTACCAAACTGGAATGAAGTAATAATTGACAATGCTGCATATGTTAATTCAAATTTCAAAATATTACCAAAAAAAAAAAAAAGGTGCAATAAGAGAATCTCACAGAATTAAACAAATAATGGTTTTTTGCTGAATGTGAAGTAAATCATTTACAATTCTCACATCCAACTGTTTTTTTTTTTTATAGTTCTTATAAAAGATATTCTTAGCTATTATGAAAAATTAAATGATTTATTTTCTAAACTACAAAAGTATGGAATAAAGAAGCGATATTAAACAAATTACTGAACTAGTATTATCAATTTCTCAAAAATTTTACTCAAATTTTACTTCTTATTCAAAATTTCATCGAAATTATCTGAGAATTTATCAAAAATTATAACTTTTTTTTTTTTTTGAAAAAAAAAAAAAATAAAGCCATTTCTGCTATAAGTAAAGAAGTAAATGAAGATCAGGTCACAACATGGCAATAAGATAAGCCTAGTAACTCCCTTAGGGTACACATTTTTCCGTAAACCTCACAACAATGACAACAACAACATACACGCACGCACGCACGCACATGTGCATAGCATCAGCTACTAATATCACCACCACCACTACTACTATTAAACTTAAACATCATAGGAAATGCAAATAACAAACCACTCGTCGCTATCAATCGACCAAACATCACTCCGCATGCGGCACAGCTCAATCTACCGCTAATTTTTGCAGGAAAGTTAATCTCAGTTTAGAATACCGAACATGATTCACTGTAATTTCAAGCTATAATCTAATGAAATGCATGATAGTGAGTAGTTAAGACAGATAATACTTATCACTTTTTTGAGGCACTGATCATTTTTTTTTTCTTTTGAATTAATTAAGTAGCAAATTATAGAAAGGAGAAAGCAAAAAAGGATTTAGAATTTCGATGATTGTATATTGGAAAAAA